ATCTGGGCCCCGCTAGCCCCCGGGGGGAGGCCGGGCACGAGGCCCCCGTGTGCCCCGCGGCGGGAGGAGGAGGAAGAGGATGATGAATTGGGGCTCTGGCGGTTCAACTCTGGGGGGCCGTCCTCAGGCGGCTTAGGGAAACCATTGGGGCCGCCCAGCCCGTTGGGCAGGCGGGCAGCGTGGCTGCTGCCCAGGCTTCCCGGGGGCGGTGGATATTCAAAGCGGCTGCGCTGCTCGGCTGCAGCGGCACTGAGTCCGTAGCGGTCCAGACTGGACTGGGGAAGCCCAGCAGAAGCTCCTTTGGAGGAGGCGTCCACATGGTTGAGCTGCTGTTGGGCCGCCGCGGCCGCTTCTTTGGCTGAGAGCGGCACAGCCTTGACCCCGACAGGAGGCGGGGGGCCTGGGGAACGGCCGTCCTGGAAGCAGCCATGCGCCCTCTTCAGCTGCCGGGCAGTCTCGATCACAAATTCTATGCGGTCGGCACCCTCGTAGTTCACGCAGCCCCGGCACACGGGCTCTGTGAAGTCCCAGATCATGGCCCAGGGCATGCGGGGCAGGTCGCAGAGGTAGCATGACTGTCTCCGAGACGAGGACACCTGCGCAGCGGACATGGTGGAGCTGGCTGCTGGAGCTGCCTGCTGCTGCGGAAGGGGTGGGGGTGGGAGAGGGGTATCGCTGCGTCTACCACCCCCTACTGGTACTGAAGAGGGGGACTCTCAGACCTGGTGCTATTGCCCCTTTGGGCCGGGGTCGTCTAGCTTTTCACTCACTGTGGCTGATGGACGGGGCTTCTTCTACCTGGTGCTGACACTGTTGCCCTTGGGCTGGGGGATCTCTTCTACTGTTCTGATGGGGGTGGGGGGTCGCCTTCGAGCCGCTTCTGTTTCCCTGCGTTGTCTTGCTCTCCGCTGCTCCTCCTCCGAGAAAGGAGGGAGGTGCACGGTGGAAGATGGGGGTCCCCTTTCTATTCGCAGCTGATGTCTTATGAGCTCGAACTCAGCTACCTGCTGATCCGCTGGTTAGAGAGGGGACCACAAGGAGCTGTTCGGTCCCGGGAGCCCTGGCGACTTTCCCAAGTGCTAGGCGCACAAGATGAGGGAGCAGCCCGAGGGCAGCGGCGGCGACTCGTCACGGCGGCAGCAGCATGGCGAGCGGCGCCGCCTGCTCCACACTCACATCCTCGATCGCTCCTCGGAATTCGAATTTGGAATCCTGAGTGTCACTGTGTGCTACTCTGCGTTCCAAGCCCGGCTCTGCCCCTCCTCCCCCTGCTCTCCCCCCTCTTTTCCTCCCTCCTTCTCTTTCCCCAGCTCAGATGCCACCTGGGTGGAGCCCTCACGTCACCGCCATGCTCTCTCCTCTTCCCCCTCCCTCTCTCCCCCTCCCCCCTCTGCAGTTCCCCTTTCGAGCACTGATCAGCTTCTTCCCCCTCCCCCCACTTCCTCTGTCTATGGACCTGGAGCCCACTTGTTGCTCTGAAATTGCGCATGCTCGGCATTCTGCCCGTTTCCTCCCTTCTTGTGTGTACAACAGCTGAAGCGATGCAAGTTACCGCTGGAAATGAAAGGGAGAGACATACCAAGGGCTATGTTTGGAAACTTAAACACAAGATCGCTCCCTCTCCCTCCTCCTCATGGCAGCGTCTCCAAAACGAAAGCACAGCCAGGAAGCACATGCAGAATAATAATTTTTTTTCCTGGCTGGGCTTTTTAAATTCAAATGTCTCGTTTTCAGGAGTTTAGCTACGAATCACTCCATTTAGACTCCCTGGCAATTGCACAACTTCCTGCCACCAAGTCTTTTGGTGGGTTTTACATGCAGTCCGGCTGCTAAAGCAAACGTGCAAGGTTCCCAAACTAACCATGTTTGCAATCTTTATCTGATTTCGTTTTTTCAATGATCCTAATGACAGAATGACATGATTTCAATAATCCCATTAATACATCAGGAGCTCTTCCACTTTTGTTGTGTTTAAATGAGCCCTATTTGGTGAGTGTTTAAGATTGAACTGAGAAACATCGCGCTGTGCATTGCGCAGGGGTGTAAGGGCAAGCAGGTGAGTAATCGGTGTGATATCATCTCACTAATGCTAAGGGACATAGGATTTCCCCAGCGCTGTGAGAATTCAAGGCTTTCGTTTTTCTTTTACATAGCCTTGATACGTTTGCATTAAAGTAGTAACAAGCGTAATATTCAAAGCAGCCTACGTTAATGCAAATTAGTTGTGGGTTCGTTTGACTAACAGAAAATACCTTTTACTTTCTAAATTGCGATTCTGAAACCTGAATCGTTTCCCTCCCCCTCCCTGTTGTGCACGCCAGTGCCCATGCTCAGAAGGAGGGGCTGTGGATAACCCATTTTTATTCTCACTGCAGTCAGTTTCTGTTTTTGCAGACAATGAAATTGCTGTCCACTCCCAAAGAATAATAAACTTTCACTGTTGGGACTTGATTACTAAGAAACTTGCAAGTATTCCTCTGCATACTGCAAACAGCATTGCGTCACTCACTCATATTCCAGCTCATACAATGTAACTAGCTACCCAGTGTGAGTCAACATTCACAAGGGAAAATATTGTTACACTCAGTGAAGCTGTAGGATATTTCAGCTGGTTATGTTGGATAACCTATTCCTTTATATTAATATTTATTCAACTCTCTCCCTTATTGAGCAAAAATATTGAAAAAAATTGCCATTTGATTTTTCTCTCTGTCCTGTAAAGGCAGTTCTGATTTCCATGGCATAGTGCCACTTTCCCCTATATATACATGGGCATATATACAGCATTAGCAATTTACCACTTTATATGTTGATTATAACAATGGCTATATAAAATCAATCAATTTATATTGTACTCTGTTCATATTTCACACTTTGGTGATATTTCTTTAAATAAATATATTCCCTTCAAATCACCAATACTTCTCAATTCACTAATTGTCTAAAACATCTCAGTATGTCTGCTGATAATCTATAAAGAAGGCAAAGTTAATGTAATAATTATATTTATATAATCTCTTATTTTTTAAGAGAAAGCTTGAAGAAATGCACACTATAAAAAGTTACAGAAGTGGCAGGAGCAGATAAAATATAATAAGAGAATCAATTTTGACAAAGTGACTATTTTTAAAAAGGGAAAGCTTACAGAGGCACCAGAAAAGTCCTTGAATTATTTGAGTCTCCTCTATGCAAATTTTCTGAAGGAGATGATCTCAAGGGAAAGTGGATTTCACAGTTAGGAATTTCATAACTAAATTGTGGACAAGATAGAGCAGGGGTCAGCAACCTTTCAAAAGTGGTGTGCCAAGTCTTCATTTAATCACTCTAATTTAAGGTTTCATGTGCCAATAATACATTTTAACATTTTTAGGTCTCTTTCTATAAGTCTATAATATATAACTAAACTATTGTTGTATGTAAAGTAAATAAGGTTTTTAAAATGTTTAAGAAGCTTAATTTAAAATTAAATTAAAATGCAGAGCCCCCAACCTCCCCCCCCCCCCGGAACCGGTGGCCAGGACCTGGGCAGTGTGAGTGCCACTGAAAATCAGCTCACGTGCCGCCTTTGGCACGCATGCCATAGGTTGCCTACCCCTGTGATAGAGGCTTCACAGAAGCAAGATTCAAGCAAGACAGCTGGAAAGCTAGTTAAAGTGAAAGTCTGCTTACAGCAAAAGTGATTTAGTGAAGGATGTAGGATTTCTACATTAATATGACTTCACTTGACTAAACAAGCATGTTCTCTCTGATTCATACTAGAAGGTCAGCTCTTCTATCCTTTTTACTGCTGTGTTGATCTTCATATGAGGAGAACTGGGCTATGGGAAAAGGTCACCTCTGCCCTTAAAAACTCAAATTGAGAGAGGTGAAGTTTTCCCCTTCATCTTGAGTGTCTGGGAATGCAGAACTCTAGGATATCCTGACTGTATTTCATTCCCAGGGTTATACAGACTCAACAAATGACAAGGCACTCTGTGTTTGAACCGCCCCTCATCCTGGCTCCTCGCTCCACTGAATCCTTCTTCAATAAAGTCCTTTTTTGGTAACACTCACCTCACAGTAACAGGCAGACTCCTTGCCTCAATAGAACAGTCTTTATAGAGGGTGTAAATAATCATCACCTTAGATATAATCTAGCCTCAGAAAACCATTTACAGGTGCTGTCAACTCCCTTTATAGTTTGTGTCTAGAAAGAAATTGAAGATTAGCATCTGTGACCCAACAGAACTGCCTTTACTTTTACTTGAAGAGATACAGAGTTGTGGAAATACGTTTGTTTTTCAGTCATGATTAAACCTTTATTTAAACTTTGGTCATGAGCATGTACTGTACCATTATGCAAGTAGCATTTAGGGATGAAATGCCAGCATTGCAACAATATGGCTAGCAGCAATGGTGATATCAGGAATACTGACTGAAGAAGAGAACTGCAATGTAAATGCAAATAAATGCCACAGCCGTGGCACCTTCAAAACGAACAGGTTGTCAGTATCAATCTAGTCTGTTAAAGGAAAATAGATTGAATGGTGGCAATGTAACAGACAAAGATAAAATCCATGGCTGCATTTGTCCTGGAAGGGTAGCAGTGTGCCTTTCTGCTCACCTCCCTTCTTTCTTTCATGTCCTTTACCATGCTAGTGGTAGGACAAAAGGAGTCCAGCTCAGTCTTCCTGGATTTACACCAAACAAGTCTGATGTTTATTTAGCTCTGAAATAATCCTGGAATTAAAATTACGTTTGGAGGAGGAAAAGAAAGAATCCAAACAATTAAGATACTGATTTGGTTCAAACAAACAAAAACAAAAATCAGAAAACAAAATACACAGTAGCTTGTTTAATAATAGGGCAGAAGATTAGCTGAGAGAAGGAGCTAAAGCAGCAAACAACTGATACATATGACAGGTTTCAGAGTAACAGCCGTGTTAGTCTGTATTCGCAAAAAGAAAAAGAGTACTTGTGGCACCTTAGAGACTAACCAATTTATTTGAGCATAAGCTTTCGTGAGCTACAGCTCACTTCATCAAATAAATTGGTTGTCTCTAAGGTGCCACAAGTACTCCTTTTCTTTTAACTGATACATATGTATTTCTTTCTGGTCAGAATAATCAATCAGCACTTTAGATGCAGCTTTACGGATTCTATTTAGATTACCTGAAGTTATGACCTGCCAGTAGCCCCAAAGACCAGGGGATATAATTTTCACTATCAGAAGTAAAATCTACCGTCTTCTTCCTTTAGTTGGTGGATAAATGTTACAGTCTGAGACCAATAACCCCTTTTGCTGTATTCCTATTTCCCATTTTATTTACCCAAAACATTAATTAAGAGCACAGGTGAAGCTTTAATATTAGAGAAGGAAACAAAATGATCAGTGGAAATATCAACTGAATGAATACAAACCAGTAGGCACCTTTCTAAATGCAATTAGAAGATATAGGAAGTAGAGAGTACAATGCACCATTAAGAAGCTATAAAAACAAATGTAATATGTGCCTGACTAAAAGCCAGTTAACTGGTCTCTATTCCATGCCATTCTTGTGTATTAGCTTCTATAATACTGGAATTAGTATTAATCTCATGGCAAGAGTATTATTAATTACTGATCACCAGAACATTGTTCATGATGCACAATACAGTACAACCCCAAAGTTTTCAGCAGTAATAGGACCACATGAACTATGCACTTCTAGAATAGAAGATCTGGTTCTAAATGGTCAGTCTAGGGATATGTTTAAATCTTTGTTGATATTCTGCTCTATTTGTGAATTATTTTGCACATAATCAATGCAGCAGTCATAAGCAAACTATTCCTTCCTTAGGAGCTCATCTATAGAATTGGCATTTCCCTCAGTGGTCAAAATAGTAGCTACAGCTGCAGAAAAGAAGCAGGAAGGAAAAGAAATATCGGGAGTGTGTTTACATAAATTGACCCCTGTATAGTAAAATACAAACAAAAATAATTCAGAATAAAATTTCTGGTTTTATTAAAACAATTGTATTAACACTGAAAAGTAGTCAGGCTGTGCAGGGAAGTGTGTTAGTGAAATCAAATCACAAACACTTGAGGAGGGAATTCCAGAATTTTGTCAAATTAAAAGTTAAACAGCACTGTATTCTTCTATAAACTGCCAGGAAGCATCAAAACACTTAATTACACTCTTATTCATTGTAACTATGTGTTTCTATTTATCATTTCAGTTAACTCTTCTCATCAGATTATAGTCCCTGTGCTAAAATTCTTCAGCTATTGGGTCCTCTTGAAAAGTGAAGGACTTGTTTTCAGTCTACTAGGTAGGAATTTTCATTGCTTAATTTTTATTTTTGTAAATGGTACCAATGATTTATCTCTTTATTCTATAGCCACATTTTCTCAAGTGACATTTTCCTCCCATGTGCTATCTCTGGGATTTTTTATTGCTGATTTTCCCCCTCCTTTTTTCTTGTCATATTACCATTTTCTGCACTATTGCCCACACAGTAACATTCAGGAATACAGGCCAGAGCTTTCTAACAGGTTCCTCTACCTATGAGCCCTGTTGCTGCTAATGATGATGTCAAGGACTGATCAGGGTGTACAAAATAAATCACTTTTCTAAACCACGCAAAGGTCCAGTTTCTTCCCCACAAAGCATACATGGCTCCTCTGTTATATCCGTTCCAACCAGTTTCCATACAGCTGTGAGCCCAGATTTCTGGTCATCAGTATTTGCCAAATTTTACAGTGCAAAATCAGACACCTATAATTAATTCTGTTTGCTCTGCAAATGACTTGTGACTGCTGGAGAGTGTATTTTATGTGGAGTGGTCAGAGGCTGGGTCCTCCACCGTTGTTATTTTTATTTTATCCATGGATCATGTATTCATCTTATATCCTGGGGACAAAATAAACAGTCAACAATAATGAATAAACTGAATAGGTACATTCTGTTTTTTTAAAGGCTATTCCCACCGATAGCCACTTGCACTTTCATGACAGTTAAGAATCTGCCAAACATTAGCTTAGTTACCAGCAAGACAGTCTTCCCCCTTCCCTCCACCCCATATACAGATTGTTTATCAAAACGTGCTGCCAAGAAAAATATCCCTGCTTTTGGCCTCCACCAGTGATTAATAACACTTGAGAATTGAACAAAACTTTACTGTGTTTAAAAAAAAAAAAGAAGTGGGAGGTGGGAAGGAGGAGGAGAGAAAGCCAAATTAGAAAAAGAAGAAACCAACCAAGCAAGCAGGAAAACTCAAATCTTTTAAGCTATTTGACAAAATATAATCTCCCATTCCCTCTGGAAATGGGCCATTTGAGAGAAGTGAAACACACACACCCCTGACCTCGTTATAAATGCTGATTAACACGGTGCTATTGAAAGAATGATGTTTAGGAGCACAAGACAAGGGTGGGAATAGGCGAGGGTGGGGAGGTTAAGGAGTTTTTCTTTTTATTTGGTCTTCTGTCGAGATGAGGTATGGGAGGAAAACAGAAAAAAATATAATTTACTTTTTTTTCCCAAAGACTGCCGGTAAAATTCCTAAGGGACACCAGGTGCCAAAATTAACTGTCTTAGTGTATTACTTTTAGACAGTATTGCTTAGATGAATCAAGTCAAGTCTTCAAGCAGCAGCCCAAGATAGCTGCAAGCTGAGAAAGAAGCACACATTTCCTTGTTGTTCTGTGGTAAAGCTCCGAAATATGTAGAGATGTGTTTGCTCTTGGGCTTCTCATCTCATTCTTTTCCCCTATGGGGTACTTGAATATTATGTCTCATGTTTGGTATGATGGATTTCTTTTTTTTAAATCAGGAGTATAAGAAAAAAAGCAAAATATGAGAACAAAAAAGGAAAGGTGAAAAATCGGAATGTAAAACATATATATATATATAGTATCTACTACAGTTTTCACTACTCTCCTAAAGAAATTAATATAATAAAAGGTAATAAACAGTTCTTGAACAGTGCGATATAGACTAGTGAAAACAGTTTACTGAAATTAATGGTGGTGGATTGAAGCAAACCTCCACTTTGGAATTAGTGCCAGACATAGTTTTCCTGAACCCTGTCCAACTGCCTGAGCGACAGACAATTTTCATTCTATTTGTGCTAAAGGCTTATGACTAGTGCTGGAAAATGAAGCCCTTGCCCTTGATCTCAGTGCAGATTAAAAAAAAAAGCAGAACTGTGCCAATTTGTTTCTTCTGCCAATAGAAGCCCTTGTGCCTTGGGCAATGCAAAACAATAAGAAGTTCTCATGAAAACTCTCCATTGAAAGGAAACCCACCAAGAGCCATGTCTCTCTGCTGCATTCATCAGCCAGTTTCTGAGATTCTCACAATGTCAGCAAAATGCAGAAGGCAAGGGCAGAAAATATCTACCAGCCGCTACTCAACTTTTTTTCTTTTCCATCTCTCACTTTTCAGCACTTGGTGACACTGGATATAACATGTATTCTATCATAAATAACAAAATTCCTTTCTCTGCTAATGCTGATCTTCCTACACTTCAGTACTGCGTGCAAAATTTGTGCTGTGCAGTCCCCGTTGTCTGAAGTTGATCCTATTTCTGAAGGATGAAATATACATTCGAGACACACTCATTCAGAGTTATAAACAGTGGCTACACTGTACTGCTGTCAGCCAACTAATCTGCAATTGCTTTTTCCTAGGTTATTAATAAAATCAGAATCCCAAGCAGCAGGCGTTTGCTTTCATTGTACAGTCTGCACTTGTGACATGGTACATGTGGAAAATTTTGAGTGCACTGCAGTGAATGGTCTGTGGGTTAGTTTTTAGCTTCCGCTAAGTACCTGGCAGGCTGCCATAGCTGAAGGATTCTGGGAACTGAAAGGCTCCCAAGTACAAACTGCCAGCATTAAGTAGTCCTGACAGCTCTGCTCCTTCCACACTTGGCAGCAGTTCAAAGTGCTCTTTCATTTGAAAGGCTGGAAGGCTGCCATGTGCAATGCAGATTTGCTGTGCCTGCTCTCATAAGGAACTGATAAATGCCGTTGCTGTTGCCATGGGGACAGGAGGCTATCAGAATGGCCTTGTGATCTGCAGCCTCTCAGCTCTGCAGGGTTGGGGTTTTTTTTGATGGTGAAATAAATGTTCTAGAAAAGGTTAACTCTTGAAGGGCACGAAGCGATGGTTTGAAGGACAGGGTGAGATATTGCACACTGCTCTTCCAAACAGTTTTGAACAAGATTAACATGTACCTGAAAACTATCCCAATTTGTGAAAGTCTGTCTTTGGATTTTTTGAGGGATGACTAGGAGAAGAGAGAGAAGGGAAATCCTTTCCCCTCATTCTGTCCCATCAGAAATCTCTTTCATTTCAGTGTTTTTCAACAGAATTAAATGGCTGCCCCTTTCTTTCTGTAAATATCCCTATTTGTAGTTTTCAGATGTTGGCAGGTATGAGTTAATTTATAGCTCAATCCTGCAAGCTGCCAAATGCCATCAGATCTCCTTGACGTCACTGGGAGTTGCAGCGCTCAGCAGGATTGGACCCATTATGTAGACTCCATTATGTATGATTGATGTATGCAAAAAGAAAGAAATGCTCCTTTTTTAAGAGATTTTGGTGACAATATAAAACCTGAACGTGAAACTCAGCTCATCACAGTTCCCAAGATTAAAATAAATACAGCACTCAGCTATACACAGTTTAAGTATGGCTATGAATGAGTATGTATATCTATACATATAGATAAAGAAAAACATATAGATGGCATATATTTTAACCAGCAATTTACATCCAATTTAATGTGTATAATTTTCAACACATTACTCTTTCTGTTTCTGCAATAGCAATAAAATTAGGTCCTTTGAAGACATCTTGGTGAAGCACAGTAAATTCAATTCTGTTAAAACAAGGAGAATTCTAAGCATGACATCAAATCATGGAACAATACAGTATATCTTTTCTATTTGTGAGACCATGCTATACAACTCAGGGGTATAAGTACAACATTATAGAGATCAAATATAAGAATACATCTGTGGACAAAGTATACATAAAGAGCAATTCTGCAAACAAAAGCATACCATGACTGATATTTTAAATAAAACACAAAAACAAAACAATATTTTGGGAACTTTGTGCTTTGTCAAATACCTATTTTAATGCTTCCAGTTTTGAATGCTTAATTTAAAACAAAACAAAAACCTAATCCGGCCTCTCTGCCTTTGAAACCAATATATCTGTATCTGTGTATGATATTTTTTAATTAATTGTTGAGTACTGTCACCATGTTAGACCCTGAACAAACACAAAAGAAAGTGAATCCCTGCTCCATGAATTTACAATCTAACTTTCACAGATTATACAGTTAACCAGTTGATGGTTAATCTGTAGTTTTTTCGCTTGAGATTATTCAGGTCACCCCATCTTCATTCTGGCCCTTTCTTAAGACCCATTTTTCCTATAAGCTTTCCAACATGTCCTTTAAATTTATAGTTGGATTTATTGTTAAAAAGGTTCATGGATGAGAGTGTCTGAAGTAAAGGTTTGAATGAGGATGGTGGTCATTTGGAAAAGGAGATGCGTTTCACATTTGATATTTAATATGACTAATAAGGGTTGTATGTGCAAATCTAGATAAAAGCTACATGTACACATTTATGAAGCAATTTCAACACTGCATGCAATGCTGCACTTCCTAAGCCCCCACACCACACAATGTTAGGTCAAAGGAGATATTTCTTTATAACTGTGTGGTTAAAAAATAACTGAGAAGTTTACTGTAATTCAACTGTAATTTCTTTATGATTCTCTCTGGGTTCTTGCCTATGGTTGTCATGGTAATTCTGGCCCGCTCTACACATTCTGCTCCTCTCACTGGAATTTCCTGATTATTCAGGACCCCCCCCAAATAAAAATCCACAACCCTGCTTCATTCCTATAACAGCAGAAGAGCTTATGATGTTAGTGTTAAAAATCAGTTAAAGCGAACCTGTTTGAGCCACTCACCTGGAAATGGAGATAATATAATAAACATATACATTGAAACAGCTGCTTACATTTTCTTTCAGAGTCAACAACAGGGTATAAAAGTAAAGAGAGGGAAACGCTGGAAAGATAACTGCATATAGAATTTCAGTATCCTATTCACAAGGACCCAGATCCTAGTCATACCACATATTATTTGGTTCTTTTAGCTGCTAAGTTTCTGATTGCAGAAAACAAACAGGAAAATATATTTTTCTGCTAAGTGACAGACACATCTATACCTACAGTGAGAGCACTAAAATATATTCTCTCCACCAGTATGACAAAGTAGAAGGCCACATTTTTATCAAGGGCTTTTGGTGACATTTAAGCCTGGAGAACCAAGCTGAACAGGATTTGGATCCATCACCGAACCTAAAGAAAGATATGCACAACCTTATAGTATATACAATTTGTGTCTGTATAGGTATTTATCAGTATGTACAACACTGATAACAACAAAATAAATGCCATGGTACTTGTTGTGTATATAATTATGTATACGTAACAAATATATATATGTTTATAAAAATGTACATATTTTGATTGTTCCTCTCTTCCTCACCCTCTGTATGTTGCTTGTTTGGGGGCAAAAAAATGAACTATGTGCAGCTATCGTTACCCTAAACACTTTGCTTGTATGTTCCGTGCCACACTCCTCCCTTTGTCTGTTCATTGTATGTTTAGATTAAAAACTCTTTAAGGCAGGGAATGTATCTCACCATGCGTTTGTATAGTGCCTAGCCCAGTGAAGCCCTATTCCTGACTGGGGCCTCTAGGTTTTACTGCAATACAAATCATTCATAATAATTGTAACTCATGTAACATTTATAAATTAGATCCAACAATTTCCATCACATACTTCTGTTCTGAATGTATTTGTATATGATCTACAAAGCTCACTGCCCTTTTCTCTGTCTCTATCCCTTTCTCTTTTGTGGTTTCTTGCAGAAGCCATTTTGATGCAGTCCTATAACTGGATCCTGTTTAAGCAGCATATAGCATTTCAACCTTGACATTCTCTTCTGTAGCAACATATTGCTGCAATCTGTGATATCAGCTGAGACATTTGTGACGTCACCTGAACCTGTAAGGCCAGAAAAGCTTGCAGTTCCTCAGGCTCTATCAGGTACTCAGGGACTAAACAGTTTTATAGGTTTTATTCTGCATGTGACCACCACGGATCTAGCTAATTTTAACCTAATAAAATACTGCCAAAGAAACCTTGTATGTAGAGAAAAGTAGCTGTAGGTCTGGATAAGGACTCTGCAGCCATACCAGTCTAACTTTCTTCCTATTTCTGTTTCCAAATTTTCATTTTTAAAGTAAAAATATCATATTTTACTAAATTCCTGGATAGTGTGATAAAACAGTAATGAATCCATTTTCACTTATGTGTTGATACACACACATATTCAGCAGCTGTTCAAAGGAAGAGAAGGTTTCAGTAAACAGTGTTAGGGGGCTTATTCCTTCTCCCACTCACTTCCTTCTCGCATGAACAGAGAGCAACAATACCCAAAGTCCAAAGGTGCAAACAATTCGATGTTTATTGGGGTGAACTTCCAGCAAGGATGATTCCAGTTTCCTTTTTTAGTGTCCCCCTTCTCAGCTATGACACAACAGAGTCTTACCTGTGTCCCTGTTCCCATTCCTCCCCTTAGCAAAACATGATTTCAATTTCCCTGTTCCCATTCCCCCCCCCCTTACTTCCTGATTGACTGCAGACTATATAGTAAAACTTGAGTTTTGCTTAGCTATACCTTAACCAATTATTTTCCTGAAATTTAACTAACCAATCCTAATCATGTTGCAATATGTTATTTAATCAATTATATCCCACCACCTTAATTAGTTTACACCCAGCAAAATTAATTATACAGCAGACAGAAACAATTCCAGACAGAGATTATACAGACAAACAATCGGGAAATGGGGACTACAATGATAGAACAACACAGAAATGAGGATTTCACATCCCATCTATTGATAAGTGAGTTCTTGACAGACAGGATGCTATCAAACTAAGTTTCCTTTTACATCTTCTAGGCACTTCCCTTTCTCTGGAGGTGATAGGCATTATTAGGACAGGATTGTATTCCTAACAGCCCAGTAGCACCTTCTTTCAATGTGACTAGTTTGGAATGTGAGGATGTGACCGTTCGCTTCCCAGCTTATGGCTGCCTCTGCTGCTTAGCCAAAGGCTTTAGCCTAAGAACAGGGCCTCAGACTGTTGCAGCAAGAGAAGGCCCTTACACCGGCAGACAGTGATTTTGATTCTTTCTTTTATACCTTTATAACTAGTTAAGTGATAAGAATACATCTAAATTCTTAGAGTATAGGCCTTTATAGACAGGCCTGCATATCTACATCCTAACACTCCACCCTTTTTTTTTCTTTTTCTTTTGGGATTCTCCTGCCCAGGTATCCCTGGAAAAGCATAGGACATATGGCGACACACTTCCTGATATAGCCAGGCATCAAGGCGGAATGCGTCATTGCTCCATCTGTCCCACTGCCCCTTGTGTAGTACCGTGCCCTGCACCTTCTCTCGTTTGGGCATACCAAACCTATTCCAATTAGTGTTCCAGACTTCCCATTACAATGGGCCTGAGAAGGTTGGGTCCGGCTTGTCTAGTACACTGTAGGGTGTGGAGAACTTACTACATTACTTATAGGTTATCTCCATATGCAACGTAACACAAGTACAGTTAACAATACAAAATCCACAGCAACACCGAGTCCTGACCACTACAGTGTGGTCCAACATTCGAGCCACCACCAAAACACTGCCTCTCCTCCTTCGACAGGGTCACAATCTTATGTGGCCAGTTGCTGGCAGTTGCAACAAGCTGCCCCTGCAGGTTTTGCGTGCTTTTGTCTATATCATAAGTCCATTGAATGTTTACAGAGAAATGGGTTATTGTTCAAACCAGCTTAACTACTTGGTATGGAATCAGGCAGTATGCCCTGGTTTGGTTATTTACAGCAATAAGATTTACAGATCCATTTGTGCACCAAAGTTCAGATAGCAGCGTGTAGATGTGTGTAGTTTGGTTATGGGCTGGTGTAATTGTGCCCCTAGTAATACGTACATTCCCAGCAAAACACCTCATACACAGTACACTCAATTGTCCACCCCTTTCCATAAGGCCATTGATCCTGCTTCCCCATAGTCATAGGAGAGGAGCACATCCAACCATCTTCTCTTGATTTACACCATTTCGCATACCCCTCCATTGACTCCCAGTAAGCTCCTCCCCTTCTCATTATTTCCATAGGGCTTGTGGGGACCACCTTAGTTGCCATTCCATTTCCAGGTAACATGGTAGCTATTACACAGGTGCTGGCCTCCTAGTTGAGCATTTTGCATTCCCATACACATTTCCCCCCAAGGTCAGCCTTTTGAAGCCATCCCCCACCCATGTCATGAGGTTTTTTGTTTATTGAAACACAACAATGCTAGCAACAAGACAAGACAAACACCACAACACATAGATCCATGGTATTCTGGATTATTTTTCTGCTGGCACCAGCTTGCTTGTAGAGTGTTTAAAAAACAAAAGAAAATTTCCACCACCCCCTAGTGGGGACAGATTATTGCTTACTAATAATACCACTTCCTTTTACAAATTTCCTTGCTAATTGCAGAAAAAAACAGAAGAATTACCTCCAGGCTGTCCTTATTTTGTTCTATAGTCAGGCTAGTGAATTACCCCACTCACTGGTCATTTATTAAATTCATGAGGTGGTGTACCTCAGTTTCCCCTCTTGTATAACAGACCAGGTTTGCAATAGTTTCTCTGCTGTACCAAGCTTTAAGTTTATTCTCAGGTAACAGCTGAGACACAGCTTCAGATTTTAGCACTGTACACACACACACACACACCCCTCAGGGTTAACCTGTTCCCCTTACTTTCAAGCTTGACTTCTTTTTTCACCTCCCTTTCCTGGAGGGCCATAATCTGAGTAGTTTCTAGTAGCTTGGTTGCTGACCAGATGTATTCATTATTTGCAGCTCCTTTGTGCCCATCAGCTAGGTAATTTGCATTTACACAGAGGCTTTCTGGCTTGCTTTTGGATCCAAAGCTATTAGCAGCTCAGAGACTGTCTTAAAAGGGAAACATTCCACTTCCACTAGAGTTCTGATTACTTTCCACTTTCATCTCCTGCTCCAAAACACACAGAGATCTGAAAGAGAAAGCACAACCTATTGTGGCTCCTTTTGGAGCCCTAATAGGATTTTAATTAAGTACCATGTTTTGTTTGCATTTCTTTTACCCCTTCTCTAATATACACTGCACACATCCTGGGAGAAAGCACATTCCTTCTATAGTTTAACCTCCATAACATTATATTAGCCATATTAATTTTACACAAGGTGTAACTGCCTCCCCCATGCCCACAGAGTTTTCATGCACACCCACTAAAGCGACAATCTGATCCCCAAGAGCCACCCCAAGTCTCAGTGTTCCCATCATTCTTCCCCTTTTCCTTTTACCTGTGCACACACAAAATTCTCTTTTTCCTAACATCCCTTGCACTGTGATTATTCTTTTTTACACAACTGTACCCTGATTACACTCCCATCTTGTACAACTAGACACAACCAGGGGCAGCCAAGTTAAGTTTCAATAGAAACCCCTTACATTACCCAAAAGGAATGTAATTAAAATCACTATAGTCAAATAATTTTGATCAGATTCTCTCTCCGCCTGCTGCCTGCAGCAGTCCCTTATATACCATTTCTGTGGGAAAAGGGCCCATTTTCCCTCAGAATAGTTGTAAAGGCTTCTGGGGACAGAAGCATTGTGGTGGTAGTAGCCACTCTACCTGACCCCCTTGGATAATTTAATTACCAAGCTTCCATCCAATGTGACTGCACAGACTTGCACATACAGTTACATTTACATAACTGGGTTTTATCATTAAACAAAAACTTCCTTCTTGTAACACCACATCTGTTACTGTTTTAACATCTTCACAACAGTTACCTTTTACCATTTCCACAACTCCCAAATGTTTACTTTCCTTCAAACCCTGTATTAATTTTTGCAAAAGCTACTTTTAACTTTTCACTCACTTCTTTAAATCACTTACTCCTACATTTAGTTCTTTAAGGTGGTGCAATTTGTCTGTAACAACTTAGCCACCAAGTACAATTATTGCCACACAGCTGCCTTAACCTGTGCTGTCTTTACCTTGAGACTGTTCAAAAAAGCAGTAAAACATTTGTCTCCATGGATGCCCATGGATCTTTTACTCCAAAAATTCCAGTGGAATATAGCAGACCTCTGTCATACTTTGTCCAAAATAACCAAAAACATTTCATGTAAGTATCCAAAGTACCCTCCATTAAAACTTCAGAAAAACAAAAGTGTGGAAAGGCAGGGGGAGAGGAGGGGGAAGAGGTGGAAAGAAACCAATTAAGCCGGTCAGGTCAGTTTAAAGTATAGGCTACCAGCAGCAAATTAAGTAAACCGAGAAAAAGAAGAAGGAAAAGAAGAAAAGAACTTAGTTAGCTCTGAGCCAAGAGTAGGCTCCCTGTGTTGAAACAGTTGGGAACCCTTATCCCCAGGTTCTTATTCTGGCTTTGGGAGAAGAGTGGGGGTTGTTACCTGCTCCTGCAAACTCTACCATTTTGCACTTTGAAACTTTTTTTTCCTCTCTTCCTTTCTTTCTCTCCACTCCCCCAGGACCAAGTCCCAGCTCCAGTCTCTAAAGGTAGTCTGTTAACTCTGCTTTTGACTTTAAACCCTGTGGTGCCAAATCATCTTTAACCACCCTAACTGAGCCCTGGTCTACACTAGGACTTTAGGTCGAATTTAGCAGCGTTAAATCGATGTAAACCTGCACCCGTCCACAAGATGAAGCCCTTCATTTCGACTTAAAGGGCTCTTAAAATCGATTTCCTTACTCCACCCCTGACAAGTGGATTAGCGCTTAAATCAGCCTTGCTGGGTCGAATTTGGGGTACTGTGGACACAATTCAACGGTATTGGCCTCCAGGAGCTATCCCAGAGTGCTCCATTGTGACTGCTCTGGACAGCATTCTCAACTCAGATGCACTGGCCAGGTAGACAGGAAAAGAACCGCGAACTTTTGAATCTCATTTCCTGTTTGGCCAGCGTGGCAAGCTGCAGATGACCATGCAGAGCTCATCAGCAGAGGTGACCGTGATGGAGTCCCAGAATCGCAAAAGAGCTCCAGCATGGACTGAACGGGAGGTACATGATCTGATTGCTGTATGGGGAGAGGAATCCATGCTATCAGAACTCCGTTCCAGTTTTCGAAATGCCAAAACCTTTGTCAAAATCTCCCAGGGCATGAAGGACAGAGGCCATAACAGGGACCCGAAGCAGTGCCACATGAAACTTAAGGAGCTGAGGCAAGCCTATCAGAAAACCAGAGAGGCGAACAGCCGCTCCGGGTCAGAGCCCCAAACATGCCGCTTCTATGATGAGCTGCATGCCATTTTAGGGGGTTCAGCCACCACTACCCCAGCCGTGTTGTTTGACTCCTTCAATGGAGATGGAGGCAACACGGAAGCAGGTTTCGGGGAAGAAGAAGAAGATGATGATGAGGTTGTAGATAGCTCACAGCAAGCAAGCGGAGAAACCGGTTTTCCCGACAGCCAGGAACTGTTTCTCACCCTGGACCTGGAGCCAGTACCCCCCGAACCCACCCAAGGCTGCCTCCTGGACCCGCCAGGTGGAGAAGGGACCTCTGGTGAGTGTACCTTTTAAAATACTATACATGGTTTAAAAGCAAGCATGTTTAATGATTAATTTGCCCTGGCATTTGCGGCTCTCCTGGATGTACTCCCAAAGCCTTTGCAAAAGGTTTCTGGGGAGGGCAGCCTTATTGCGTCCTCCATGGTAGGACACTTTACCACTCCAGACCAGTAACACGTACTCGGGAATCATTGTACAACAAAGCATTGCAGTGTATGTTTGCTGGCGTTCAAACAACATCCGTTCTTTATCTCTCTGTGTTATCCTCAGGAGAGTGAGATATCATTCATGGTCACCTGGTTGAAATAGGGTGCTTTTCTTCAGGGGACACTCAGAGGTGCCCGTTCCTGCTGGGCTGTTTGTCTGTGGCTGAACAGAAATGTTCCCCGCTGTTAGCCACAGGGAGGGGGGAAGGTTGAGGGGGTAGCCACGCGGTGGGGGGAGGCAAAATGTGACCTTGTAATGAAAGCACATGTGCTATGTATGTAACGTTAACAGCAAGGTTTACCCTGAAAGAGTGTAGCCACTGTTTTATAAAATGTGTCTTTTTAAATACCGCTGTCCCTTTTTTTTTCTCCACAAGCTGCATGTGTTTCAATGATCACAGGATCTTCTCCTTCCCAGAGGCTAGTGAAGATTAGAAAGAAAAAAAAACGCACTCGTGATGAAATGTTCTCTGAGCTCATGCTGTCCTCCCACACTGACAGAGCACAGATGAATGCGTGGAGGCAAATAATGTCAGAGTGCAGGAAAGCACAAAATGACTGGGAGGAGAGGTGGCAGGCTGAAGAGAGTAAGTGGCGGGCTGAAGAGAGTAAGTGGTGGGCTGAAGAGAGGGCTGAAGCTCAAATGTGGCGGCAGCGTGATGAGAGGAGGCAGGATTCAATGCTGAGGCTGCTGGAGGATCAAACCAGTGTGCTCCAGTGTATGGTTGAGCTGCAGCAAAGGCAGCTGGAGCACAGATTGCCACTACAGCCCCTGTGTAACCAACCGCCCTCCTCCCCAAGTTCCATAGCCTCCACACCCAGACGGCCAAGATTGTGGTGGAGTGGGGGGCCTCCGGCCAACCAGCCACTCCACCACAGAGGATTGCCCAAAAAACAGAAGGCTGGCATTCAATAAATTTTAAAGTTGTAAACTTTTAAAGTGCTGTGTGGCATTTTCCTTCCCTTCTCCACCACCCCTCCTGGGCTACTTTGGTAGTCATCCCCCTATTTGTGTGATGAATGAATAAAGAATGCATGAATGTGAAGCAACAATGACTTTATTGCCTCTGCAAGCGGTGATCGAAGGGAGGAGGGGAGGGTGGTTAGCTTACAGGGAAGTAGAGTGAACCAAGGGGCGGGGGGTTTCATCAAGGAGAAACAAACAGAACTTTCACACCGTAGCCTGGCCAGTCATGAAACTGGTTTTCAAAGCTTCTCTGATGCGTACCGCGCCCTCCTGTGCTCTTCTAACCGCCCTGGTGTCTGGCTGCGCGTAACCAGCAGCCACGCGATTTTGCCTCAACCTCCCACCCCGCCATAAACGTCTCCCCCTTACTCTCACAGAGATTGTGGAGCACACAGCAAGCAGTAATAACAGTGGGAATATTGGTTTCGCTGAGGTCTAAGCGAGTCAGTAAACTGCGCCAGCGTGCCTTTAAACGTCCAATTGCACATTCTACCACCATTCTGCACTTGCTCAGCCTGTAGTTGAACAGCTCCTGACTACTGTCCAGGCTGCCTGTGTACGGCTTCATGAGCCATGGCATTAAAGGGTAGGCTGGGTCCACAAGGATACATATAGGCATTTCAACATCCCCAACAGTTATTTTCTGGTCTGGGAATAAAGTCCCTTCCTGCAGCTTTTGAAACAGACCAGTGTTCCTGAAGATGCGAGCGTCATGTACCTTTCCCGGCCATTCCACGTTGATGTTGGTGAAATGTCCCTTGTGTTGGTGAAACGTCCCACCAGAGCTTGCAGCACTACTGAAAAGTACCCCTTGCGGTTTATGTACTCGCCGGCTTGGTGCTCCAGTGCCAAGATAGGGATATGGGTTCCGTTTATGGCCCCACCACAGTTAGAGAATCCTAAGCTATTACCAGCAGCAGAGTGGGGTGCGAGGAGGTTTTTTTTTTCATGCTTTGTGTGTATATAAAAAGATCTCCTACACTTTCCACAGTATGCATCCGATGAAGTGAGCTGTAGCTCACGAAAGCTTATGCTCAGATAAATTGGTTAGTCTCTAAGGTGCCACAAGTATTCCTTTTCTTTTTGCACATTTCCCAGGGTCACTACCCTTGATATCAGCAGATCTTTGATTGCGTGGGCTACTTGCATCACAGCAGCCCCCACAGTAGATTTGCCCACTCCAAATTGATTCCCAACTGACCGGTAGCTGTCTGGCGTTGCAAGCTTCCACAGGGCTATCGCCAGTCGCTTCTCAACTGTGAGGGCTGCTCTCATCTTGGTATTCATGCGCTTCAGGGCAGGGGAAAGCAAGTCACAAAGTTCCATGAAAGTGCCCTTACACATGTGAAAGTTTCGCAGCCACTGGGAATCATCCCAGACCTGCAACACTATACGGTCCCACCAGTCTGTGCTTCTTTCCCGAGCCCAGAATCGGCGGTCCACAGCATGAACCTGCCCCATTAGCACCATGATGCATGCACTGGCAGGGCCCATGCTTTGAGAGAAATCTGTGTCCATGTCCTGATCACTCACGTGACCGCGCTGACATCGCCTCCTCGCCCGGTATCGCTCTGCCAGGTTCTGGTGCTGCATATACTGCTGGATAATGCGTGTGGTGTTTAATGTGCTCCTAATTGCCAAAGTGAGCTGAGCGGCCTCCATGCTTGCCTTGGTATGGCATCCGCACAGAAAAAAGGCGCGGAACGATTGTCTGCCGTTGCTCTGACGGAGGGAGGGGCAACTGACGACATGGCTGACAGGGTTGGCTTACAGGGAATTAAAATCAACAAAAGGGGTGGCTTTACATCAAGGAGTATTTCAGGCAGGACTTCACGGAGGGTTCCAATAAGAAATGGTGCACCTAAGTAATTGTTCTTATTGGAACAAGCAGGTTGGTCTGGCCTCTGATTGATACATGGCTAGATTTACCTCGCTGCACGTTCTCTGTGAGTGACTGCAGTGTGACCTAGAGGAATGAGTCCCCTAGATGGGGGAGGGAGGGAAGCAAATGAGTACAAAACAAATCTGGTCTATTTCTTGTTTTGATCCACTCCATCTATCTTTTACATCTTTGGCTGGCAGCAGACGGTGCAGAAGGACTGCATGCCATCCACATCTCATGGCTGCTCGGCAGAAGATGGTACAATAGGACTGCTAGCAATCCATATCGCCTGCCTGCTCACCATAAGATGGTTCAATAGGACTGACTGCAGGACTAAAGAGAATGACCTGGTCAAGCCAGGAGCACGTCGGACATGACAATGACAGCTACCAGTCCTATTGTACCATCTGCTGCCACAAGGCAATGGGTTGCTGCTGCTGTGTAGCAATGCAGTACCACGTCTGCCAGCACCCAGGAGACATACGGTGACGGCTACCTGAGCAGGCTCCATGCTTGCCGTGGTATGGCGTCTGCACAGGTAACTCAAGAAAAAAGGCGCGAAACGATTGTCTGCTGCTGCTTTCACGGAGGGAGGGAGGGAACGGGGGCCTGACGATATGTACCCAAAACCACCCGCGACAATGTTTTAGCCCCATCAGGCATTGGGATCTCAACCCAGAATTCCAATGGGCAGCGGAGACTGCGGGAACTGTGGGATAGCTACCCACAGTGCAACACTCCGGAAGTCGACGCTTGCCTCAGTACTGAGGAAGCACTCCGCCGAGTTAATGCACTTAGAGCATTTTCTGTGGGGACACACACACTTGAATATATAAAACCGATTTCTAAAAAAACGACTTCTATAAATTCGACCTAATTTCATAGTGTAGACATACCCTAATTTACAACCCTTCAGCATCCTTTGCTGAAGCAGCACCAAACTTGAAAGATTACTGGCAGCTTCCCATAATGCTGCCCTTACTTCAAACCTCTCACAAGCAGACAGAAGTGCCTCCTTTCCCTGGAAGGCATTCAGTCCCAATGGGCATGGACCTTCTTCCACTACCCATATACCAAGGAGGGTGGGCTCCTCAGCCACCCCCCATCCTTCTGGGTCCCCTAACACTTCCTCCATTTCCTTTTTAATCTCATCCCAGGTTGACCCCTGCACCTGGTATGGGCCCTGGTTCTTCCTTAACCATTTATCCAAAAAATCCTTTACCCTGGCTTGCCAGAACCTGCAACTACCATCACGAGAGTTCGCTATACCCCCTCCAAGCAGCTGCACGGACTGTTGAGGAGGGGGACTTACAGGCTGCCACTCAGCTATGCAATGCGATGTATCCAAGTCACAGCACCAAGATGTTAGGGGGCTTATTCCTTCACCCACTCACTTCCCTGGTCCTTCTCGCATGAACAGAGAGCAACAATACCCAAAGTCCAAAGGTGCAAACAATTCGATGTTTATTGGGGTGAACTTCCAGCAAGGATGAGTCCAGTTTCCTTTTTTAGTGTCTCCCTTCCCAGCTATGATACCACAGAGCCTTATCTGTGTCCCTGTTCCCATTCCCATTCCCCCCTTAGCAAAACATGATTCCAATTTCCCCACCCCCATTCCCTGTTCCCATTCCCCCCCTTACTTCCTGATTGACTGCAGACTATATAGTAAAACTTGAGTTCTGCTTAGCTATACCTTAACCAATCATTTTCCTGAAATTTAACTAACTAATCCTAATATGTTATTTAACCAATTATATCCCATCACCTTAATTAGTTTACACCCAGCAAAATTAATTATACAGCAGACAGAAACAATCACAGAACCAGACAGAGATTATACAGACAAACAATCGGGAAATGGGGACTACAATGATAGAACAACACAGAAATGAGGATTTCACATCCCATCTATTGATAAGTGAGTTCTTGACAGACAGGATGTTATCAAACTAAGTTTCCTTTTACATCTTCTAGGCACTTCCCTTTCTCTGGAGGTGATAGGCATTATTAGGACAGGATTGTATTCCTAATAGCCCAATAGCACCTTCTTTCAATGTGACTAGTTTGGAATGTGAGGATGTGACTGTTCGCTTCCCAGCTTATAGAAAAGGAGTACTGTGGCATCTCTAAGGTGCCACAAGTACTCCTTTTCTTTTTGTGGATACAGACTAACACAGCTGCTACTCTGAAACCTTCCCAGCTTATGGCTGCCTCTGCTGCGTAGCCAAAGGCCTTAGCCTAAGAACAGGGCCTCAGACTGTCACAGTAAGAGAAGGCCCTTACACCAGCAGACAGCGATTTTGATTCTTTCTTTTATACCTCTATAACTAGCTAAGTGATAAGAATACACCTAAATTCTTAGAGTATAGGCCTTTACAGACAGGCCTGCATATCTATATCCTAACAAACAGCATTCAGGACATTTAATTACAACCTGTTAAAAAGTTCTTAAATTGACTTTAGCCCCTTATTTTTCATTTCATACATTTGTACTATGTATACAAAACAACCTCATTAGTCCACACGCTTCATAAACAGCATAAAAATTACAGTCTCACTTCTCAGCAAAGTTTGAAGAGTGGAGTGCAGTAGCCACCTCTCATGTTAAAAGAAAAGGAGTACTTGTGGTACCTTAGAGACTAACAAATTTATTTGAGCATAAGCTTTCGTGAGTGACAGCTCACTTCATCAGATGCATCCGATAAAGTGAGCTGTAGCTCACCCATCTGATGAAGTGAGCTGTAGCTCACGAAAGCTTATGCTCAAATAAATTTGTTAGTCTCTAAGGTGCCACAAGTACTCCTTTTCTTTTTGCGGATACAGACTAACACGGCTGCTACTCTGAAACCTCTCATGTTAAGTCTGTTATCTTTACAAAATACATTCCAGTATATCTATTTGTGCATTCTGAAGTATCAAATAATTACAAAGAAATTAGTTTTCAAAATAAAGTACATTGTGATGCTTTTCCATTTTTTAAAAATTGTATTTGTTCATGTATTTGCAAATTCACAAAATTCAATAATTTGCAAAGAGTATCCCAGTTAGTATAAATTAGGAAAGTTCTGGCATGCAAATTAGGTTCTCTATACCTTTAGAAAGCTGACATGCGCTTTAGCACAATATTATGTTATTACTATTATCTTTAG